AAAAAAGAGGTTACGTAAATGCTACTAAACATCACATAAAAAATAAATTTAAATTGTTGAAGAAAAAATGGGATAAATACATTCAAAGGACTATGGGAAAAAATAGCTCTGGGAAAGGCATAAAACCTCTTTTATATGAAAAGTAAGTTTTTAGTTCATTTTCTATTTTCTGTATCTAAAGGCTGTGGCACACGATACATTTTTTTCTACTGGATTGCTTGCGTTTAGTAAATTACTAAAATTGTTCTATACAGAACGCAGAATTTCTAATAATTTATTGAAACACAATTAGCAGAAAAACATCATATATTACAGGCTTTATTGTAAATGTGATATTTTTCAATTCAATATTTACAGTTAATTAAGTTACTGAGTCTTTTTATTTTTCTTTTGTGTTATTTTCACAGTATCCTATGTATTTAATGAGTAATTAATGGAATATATACTTGTCCTTGCAGTGAAATGATAACCATCTTTGGAAAAAGTCACAGTGGAGTGCCACCTTTTGTGGTTGGCCGCAAAGAAATTGTTTCTCAGGAAGAGATTTTGCAAAAAGTCAGTCAAACTTCATCTGGGGGAGTAATAGTTATGGATTGGAAGTTATTTTTGCCATTACTTTGATAATAAATAATCTAGTAATAATGTTGTAATTTATTTTATAATGGTAACGGTAACTAATTAAAAGCTAAAGTTGGAAAAATCTCTTTCAAAAAATAACTTATCATTATGCATTATTTATTGAAGAAATGAGTTTTTTTCGATAAATAACACATAATAATGACAAATTACTTTTCCAAAGTGACTCCCAACTTTAGCTTTTAATTAGTTACTGTCACCATTATAAAAAATTGTAGTTATTACCAAATCATTTTTTATAAAAGTAACAACAAAGTAACTTTTCATCCTTGATAATAATTATCTCCTTAAGATGTATGTTTTTTCGATCTGCATTTTTTCAGATAAGTAGTAGTTAATGTTTTTTGTTATAGGAATATAAATGAAGAAGAATCTTCTGTCGAAGTACATTCACCTCTTTCGCCTCTATCGCCTCTTTCGCCTCTATCAGCGAATAGCAATAAATCATTCACGACAAATAGCAATTGTTCATCTTTCATAAAGACAAAAGCAAAGGTACGAGATGGTAAATTGGCGCTTACTATACAATCGGTTAATGAATCAATCTGTACTATGCTTGAAAAAGAAGGTAATGCCAGACAAGACGCACGCACAGAAATGTTGATAGAGCTTCGAACATGCAATGAATTACAAAGACAGCGAAATAATATTTTGGAAAGGCAACTTCAGCTACTAGAGAGAATGGAACAAAAATACTCAAAGCAAACAGAATTAAATATGTATATTACACTGAATTAAATATGTATATTGTATATTTTCATTAATTATGTAAATAAACGTCAAAGTAACGTTTTCTAACCCTGTTCGTTAATACTCACTCTCTATTTCGTCGTCTTCCTCAATAAAATCATAAGCAAAAAGTAAAAAATTTTCGAGGAAATTATCATTAATTTCATTAATAATTCCAAAACGGAAATCTCTCAAAAAATTTCTGAAATCCATTTCAGAGGTAATAATGCAAATGGCTGGTAATTGATTCCTACGTCCTGCATACGATCGGTGAAACTATTCGTATAGCTATAGAACAACAGGACGCTTGTCCCAAGTTGTCCCAATCCGTTCGTGTCGCCGAGCATTGGGGCACATGAATCCAATTGCTCCAACCGCCATCTTGCTGGTGATCCAAGTGCTCTCTGGAGGTGCGTTCCGTATCGCGCATGATGCGCTTGATGCATCCATTGTCCTTGTTTAACATTTGGTGAGCAACAAGGATAAACGACGCATTATGCGCACCATGCGAGAAACGGAACGCACCCTGGGTTAATTTGGAACTTGCGACGCGAACAAACCTCTAGATTTATCAGAGAGGCGCAACCAGTGTTATGCATTCTGATTTGCTGTTACAATCTAACCAATTGCGTGACTTGGGCTGTGTTCCAAAATTGTTTGTCAGCGCTGCGAGCATGTCGTCATAAGTGCATGCTACCAATAGTGTTCCAATTTCATAAGCATGCTTTTC